TTGTGCATTCTATTTTTCATTTTTTTATAAATAGAAATAACTGAAGATGTCGGAACATTTGTCAATATTTTCTACTAGTTTAATTCAGTCATTGTTTTGACCCTGTAATTGGCCTCTGGGCTGTTGGGTTTGTATGCAATAAATAAATAAATAAATAACGTAAATAAATAATTTCCTGAAGGAAAACATGAAGAGCAGAATTCATTCATAGATGCTTCAATTCTTATTTCGTCACACCTGACCCGTGCGACCCTCGAGTAAAATCCATACAATTTAAAAATCAAACATGAAGAGAAAATCAATTAAAAGCCCTCACTGAGAGAAAAACGACAGAGTTCTCAATCAAGTCTTACTTGTGCCAGAAAAATATTTTTTTGAAAATTATCAAAAAAGGATTTTTTTGTACCAAACATGCAGAAAGGACGCCGGAATGAAAAATTTTTGTCGCAAATATAGATTTAGTAGTTCAAAAAAAATTGCATTCTCTGTACACGCAAGAAATGTCATTTCTAGCACTGCTCCTTCGTCATTCGATACTCCCATGTGTATTTTGCTCCCGAAAAATCTTTGTTCTATGCGAAACAAGGGATAGTAGTTCTTCGTTTCGGCTGTCTAATAATCACAGACAACAAATGAACCCTTAAATGAAATAATAATAATGATATGATAGTAATCTTGTAACTTAGGGATAAAATATTAGTTGATAAATTTTCCTCTATATGAGATATTTTCATCCCGACAAGGCACCGTCTGGTGTGAATTATCCGCCTCTTGAGCCAAATATTTCGTTGCTGTCGAAAGCCGAACAATTATTCACGTTTGAGACTTTCAAATTCGAACCAAACAAATTATTTTTTGGCAATTTTCAACTAGCGATTTTGTCGGCCCAACCAAGACCTGTTTGACAACGTGTTTGTTTTTCTCTCAGTGCTGAGTAGTGAATAAAGGAAGAATTTTTTGATTAAAAAAAACAATCCAAAATGAATGAAAGACCTAGAGACAGCACGGAGGAAGCCAATTATTCCCGCTGACCCCGCGGCAATGATACCTAGCCTCGCATAATTTTGTGCACCTCTCGCACACGCACACACACACACACACACACACACACACACACACACATACACACACAAAAGAAAGAAGGAGTACGTAACTTAACTCCTCTGCATTCAAGGGCCCATCGTGCGCCTTTATAATGAAGATATAACTGAGCCGCATACGCCGAGACATCTTTACGTCCGGAGGAGAGAGTTTTGCTTGTTACTCTCTCGCTGTTATGGTTCGAAGGGATAGGAGAAGAAGAGGCGAATAATAATAAAAGCATAGTGAGTGGGGGGGGGGCATACGCATGGGCGTTTGTTGTTAATCAAACTCAGAACGCAATAACGAGCGAAAGATTTTTTTATCGACATCCCAGTTGACATCTGGCTGGAATATCACTGGTAATTGATGACAATCCGAACCTCTCGTTAATCAACTCCGGGGATTAATTCCGCGATGACGCAATGATTGGATAATTAGGGAATCACGGAAGTGGACGAACAAATGGACTAATTACGACGGCATAAAAAGTGTATTAATTTCCATAAATGTGCATCCTCGGCCTCACGGAAGTGAACGCGACGCCACGCCCGCGTTCCCTCGGACGATCACATGAACACACGCCGCGGAATACCCGGCATTATAATCCTATTACGGATTTACGTGGCACTCTTTTTTCCCTTGCATTATGATTTTTTTTTGCTCGCACGAGACATCGGCGACCCAGACCCGTGTAAAATTGCCTGGAACGTATTTTTCCATTAAACTGGATAGCCGAAAAGGCACCGAGTTGTATTAAATTATAAGGTGCACAGTTTTATCGATTTCGAGGGCAGCGGAATGAGTTTTTAAACTTAATGTTGAATTAATTTCACTTTCCAAGGTCCGCGATGTTGTCTCATGATTAATTTTGAATAATTACGTGATGACGATGATTATTGACAGCGAGCGATGGATCTAACCTAATCTATGCGCGCGCATCAGCCGGAATAATTCACTGGCGCCACCACGGCCTGTGAAAAACTGACAACGCGATTTTGTGACGTCATATGATTAAAATATGGCATTAAAATAAGTCATGACCTCAGAATAAGCCTCATAAATTACCTAGGCAATTCCGCAATGGAAAAAAAAAACCGCTCCATTTCAAATAAGATGTTTGAAGACACATGAGGGGCGAGAGATTTAACGAGCTAGTCCCCAAGGTGGTATGAACCTCTCAGTCCAAACAAAAAGATCCCACCAGCGAGAAAAATCACCCCAAAAGAATGAAGCCATTAAAACTTAGGGTTGCAGAAGATTCTCCAGAGTGGCGAGTGTCGTTATCCCCGAGACAGGGGTGATTAGCGTTTTTAATATCACACCCATTTTGTCCCATACTTACCTTTTAATTCCTCACCGTTCGTCCAAGCCAAGCCCCATTCTCTTAATCCCCCTCCGGCAGCTAAAAGGATTCGGCAATAAACAACAGTGAGTCTCGAAATTAGCCGAAGGGTATTTTTTCACCGAGCGAAAAACAACCCCCCCCCCCCCCGATGGATTTATGCTGTAACCGTCTTAAAACAAAAAATCCCGGCCTCCTTAATTTCAATCCTCACGTAAATAACAGCCCCCTGACATTTACTCCGTTGACATTTACTCCAGTATGACTTTAATTCTGAATTAGTCCCCACCCCTCGCGCCCCTTTGACAAATGATAAAATATCACTCGCTGAAGTGAACTTTTTTTTCCCCCCCCCTCAGATGAGTCAAAAGGTCGAGGACGGAATATTCCTCCTCATCCTCATGAAAACACACCGCAGATACCCGGTAAGTGTATCTAATTACCCCGATGTTTACGTCAACGTTTACAGTGATTTACAACAAAATTGTGGCATCGACCTTCGTTGCACGCCGGTTTATGAGAAAGAAACAAAGAAAAATAAACAAAAAAAAAGAGGTTAAAACGCGCGGTCAGCTCCGCTAAAAACTACATGAGGATTTGGTCATTTATCATGGCGTCCCGACGTTGCCCGGAGGGTGCATCCTAGCGAAAAAACTTGGCCTAAAAAATGGATAAAATGGGTTTTGGAATATAATCCATTGGACAGACTAATCGTAGTCAGTCTCGTATTATTATAATTTCATGTTCTGCGACCGACTGACCCCCCCCCCCTCCGAAATCCGTCGGAAGACGCTATATTTTCGATTTATGTTCCCGTGAATTATCGGCAACGTGTCGATCGTGATCGAGCGCTTGATGACCTCACAATTCTCAACGGGCGACTCTCGGGGAGTGAAGGAGAATATATATATTTTTTTGTTGCCGTTGAACAGGTGCAGAAAGTCCTGAGGTTAAACGCAGGACACGGGGAGTCGTGGGAGCAGGGATACAGGAAAGGGACGAGTGAGAGTAAAAAAAGGAGAGCGTCATATTGGGGCACAACACCTACGTGTCCATCGATGGTACACACATAACGCCTTCAAATTACATAGTCCCTGGGGTTCATCCATCACAATCCCTCTTGATGGTGGAAAGAGTTTCGCAGGACCTGAATGAGAAGGTCCTGGGCAACGCCCCGGCGTTTAAGTCGTTAGCAATTTCCTGCACGGGACTATTTTTCGGGTCCAAATTCCATATGGCTTTCGGTAATGCTTGTTCCAAGGGGTTTTCGA